TGTAGAGTTGCGTTATAGTTATCACTTGTGCAGAACACAGGGAGTGTTTATGCTGTCTTTACTAAGTGGGTGAGTATTGGTGGGGGAGGCATTCAAGACACGGTGCAAATTGAGAAAGGACAAGTAGGTGAGGTTCGCGTGGCAGGATTAGGGGCTGAAAATAGTGCAGCAAGTTCAAAGTAGGAAAGGCTTGGAGAGAGGGTGATGGTATGTCATGTGATCAGTGTAAAAGTAAAATTTTAAATTTCAAGTATTTTATTCTACCATGATTAAATTAAAAGTTGGAAGCAATGATCACAGGTTTATAATAGCAAGAATTATGAAAACTGACCCAACAGTGTAAATTGACTATACTTCAATTTTTAAAAGTAGGAAAAAAATTTAAAAAAAAGAAAACTAAAGGTTTGCTGAGAGAAATTATAAACTTAAACAAATGATATATCACTTCATGAATTAAAAGGCATAATGTTAAGATGTCACTTTTCCACACATTAATCTATAATCCCAGCAGGGATTTTTTAAGAAACTGATCCTCATATATACTATATATAATTTTTATTTTATATATAATTTACATATATATATATTTCTTCTCTTAATCCTCTTTTCACAGTTGTTATTTTTAAAAAGAGGTCAGAAAACTAAAGATTAAATTTCTCAGATTCCATCAAAGCTGAGAGTCTGGAGGGAAATTACGGCTATCGTGTAAAAGCCGTCCTACAGTATTTGGAGATCAGAATTCGGGCACAGTCCAAATTCCTCCTACTGCTTCTACTTTCAGAAAACTGAGAGAGCAGACAGAGGTAAATGTTTGTGGTGGCTCTTTTCCACTTTCCTCTATCTAGTCATCAACTTCATGAGAATAAAAATCTACCGTGAAAGATAGATCTGACCTGCAGATCATGACTTCAGTGATGTGGCCTTGGAGTTAACAGTCTAGAAATGGTTCTCTGACTTCTAGCCTTCCCAGCTCTTCTTTATTTATTTTTCTGAAACAGAGAGATTTCTGTTTTCTGCACTGAAATGTGACTAATGCAATGTTCCACAAGTCTTAATTATTTTTGTGTTAATCTATTTCTTTTTCTTTTCTATAAATTATGGTTTACCAACCCACTGATTCTGTCGTAACCTGTATCCACTATAAAGGTAATATAATTAATTGAAATTGCAATTTTAAATGACTACATTGTCCACTTCTAAGATTTCTAGTTGTTTCATATTTGACAGTCTGGGCTTCGCACCTGACTGTTGTTTTAGTTTAGTTATGAATGCATGTTTATCCTTCATTAATTTCCCCCAAATGTTTATTTTGGTGTTTTTATCATAGTTTTTTATTAAAAAGAATTTCATCCGTAGTGAATTCCTGTCTAAATGTTGACTTCTATTGGCAGTCTCTTCTAACATTCCATTTTTTCACATTTTGCATTTGTGATTTGCAATTTTTTAAAAAAGATAGCCTGTCTTAATATACCAGCAAGTAGGGACTTCTCCCTCAAAATTTCTGAACACTCTTTTTATTATTATTTTTTTAGTTTTTAGTTGAAGATTCCCAATGTGTATTTAAAATACAATTTATAAAAGTTGCTAGATAAAGTGAAGCAATAACAAATTCTGCATAGTGCATCAGAGCATATCCAATATCCTTTAGATAAATACTAAATTTGATACGTTTCAACATGTACATATTTAACAAATACTCTATTTTTTAAATTAAAGTTTTTATTTTGAGATTATTGTAGATTTACATGTTATTCAAAGAAATAACCCAGAGGGATCCCATGTTCCCTTTACCAATTTTTCTCCTATGGTGACATATTGCAGAACTATTGTACAATAGCATACCCAAGATATTGACATGCAATCCATACATCTTATTCAAACTTCTCAGTGGTCCTCATCTAGTTTTGTGCAGCACTATCACATGTAAATTCATTTCTCTAACACTACAGTCTAGATACAGTGTAAGTTTCATCACTACAATGATTCCCTCCTGTTGCCCTTTTACAACCACACCCAGCTCCCGCCTGCCACCCCTCCCTTGCCCCTTCATCCCTGTCTGCGGCAGCCACTACTTTGTTTTTCATTCTGTATATTTCTCATTTCAAAAATGTCGTATAATGGAGTCATACAACATGTAACCTCTTAAGATTGGCTTTTTCATCCAAGCACTTTCTCAATCTGCAGTCGTTATGTTTGAAGACTGCTTTTACCACTTCATCAAGTTTCTTCAACATTCCATGCCTGAGTTTTCTCACCTGTAAAATGGGGATAACAATGTCTATCTCATAAGGTTGTGTGTAGTGTGGAGTATTACCTGTCCCAAAGCAAGTTGATCCTGCCAGTGTTATTGTTCACTTGACTCACTTGCCATGTTGGATTGTGAACATATGGCAGCCCTCTTCTACTGACCCTCTGAGAAGACCCTGGTCATTGCTACCTTGAGAGTCATTTTAAGGAGGATACCAGAGACTGAGCTGCCCTGGAAAAGACCTTTGAACTGAAAAGTTGATCGTTATTTAGAAGAAGGCGCTAGAAGAAGGTGGTGCCTGTATGGGGCTGGCTGTGTCCTGCTGGGAACCTGGGAGCACCTGTCAGAGAGAAGATTGCAGGGAACATGCCATCAGAGAAAGGAATGCTGAGAACAGGCTGTCAGAGAAGAATGATGGGAACACCCTCAGAGGAGAGGATGCCCCTCGTCAGAGAGGGATGCTGGGAACACCTGTCAGAGAGGCGGTAAATTTTTAAAAGTGGATTTTCATTTTTGTTTCATTCTCCTGTAAACTGTATTAATGTCATAACTCCTCACCCCTTCCATTTCACAGACTTTACCTGGACACCCGTTGCTAGGTGGCTTTTCAGTACCTCCCGCTATAAGAGGCATAATGAACTTTCCCACTCCACTGATACTGAGGGAGGCTGTATGACTTGGCCAGCAGAATGTTAACAAACATAATGGAAGCAGGCACTTTAAATGCCTTACCTGATTTGGCATGGCCTCTTCTGATCATATTATCAACCGTGAGAGGAAGATGCGCTGGGTATCTGCAT